TTTGTGTCTATGCTTCACCCGACAAGTAACAAATCCCTCTAATTAGAGCAAAGGTTAAAATGAGCCAGTTAAATGAAACATTCTTATTTGTACTTTAGTATTTCAATTAATGAAAACAGACTTCCATGACACACATCCTTGCCAGAAATGTTGTTACTGGAGGAAAAACACTGGAGAAAAAGGAATGTAGGAAGCAGGGGCACTTATGCCACAGAAATACTGTGTGGAAAAGTGTGTGTGCTCTAACAGAAGCCCAGCGAGGCGACATAATGCAGGTACGATCAGTGACATGGGGTCCCTGCAGAGGCACTGTGTCCAAGGACTGGAGGCCTGGGAAGAGAGCTGGGCCAGAGTCTACGAGTAAAGGAGCATTGAGAGGGCACATTTCCACGGTCTGGCTGGAAGAGGAAGTCACAGATGTCTGGGGGTGGCGGTGGGGGAGAAAACAAGAGTAAACAAGGCTTACTTCAGTCCGCAGGCCTACCCATCCCTAATGCTTCTACTACTTGGCTTTTGTTTCTACCCTTGAACCATTTTCTGTCAAACAGAAACTATCTAACCCGTCCTGGCTGCTAACAAATAGGTACAGTCTTGGACTAATTACCTAGAACAAATGTTCCGGAGAAGGGTAAATAGGACAGTTAAAACCTGGTAACCTCGACATAAGATGAAAGCAAATGGGGATTGTTAAAACCAGAGAAGGCCATGGAAGACCCCATATTATGCATCGCCAATCTAAAAATTACAGAGAGAACTCCTGGTTATTAGAGTTGCCGAAGAAGAAAATATGCCTCTCTGTCTAGGAGTGAGCCGCCTATCGAGGAGAGTGCTCAACGGGAGGTAGGCATGTGCAACAGGCGATTCTTGCAACAGCCAGACAGCGACCCTATGAGTATTCTAGGACATCAACTTACAGGAAAGGATGGATGGTCTCCCTTCGCAGGGATACAGTCATGAACCTGACCTAAGAGTCCCTGGTAAGGCGGAGTAGCAGCGATCGCCGTCAGCGATGCAGACGATGGATGACTGGGCCATACTCCTCAATTTCTCCTCCCAAACTGGCTGGGAAGGTAAGAGTCATATTCCGGATTTCTATCCTACAGCTATCCTTTCCCCTCCCCCCTCCCTCTCCTCCGTTCCCAAAGCACTTTGTTCATGCTGAAAGCCACAGGATAACCACCGAAAATAAAAACTCTCTGGATGATGATCTACTGCTATTCTTTTCTCTGCAAAATGGAACTGCGTTACCCCCATGTAGTGGGCTAGGCTGCAAAGCCTAATGGTGCACATCCATTGTCAGAACCAGGCTCCTCGTCCTCCACATGTAGAGTACCCAGCACTGTGCAGAAGGTGTAATAAACCCCCATCCTACAAGTCGATTTTACCTTAACATCTGGGGGAATAAACACGCCATGAGTGTCTGTACTGGTTTGTTCAATAAAGTCAACCAGTACAGAAGAGAATGCAACATTCACATGAATTTTTAAGATGAAATACAAGATTTTAAAGAAAGCGCTTGCTTACATGGGGGGTGGTATTTGTGGCTATATTTACAGATCCCTGAAGAAATACATTCTTCTCCACAACAGGATACTTTGGCAGAAAAGTTTCATAAGCAAAGATTTATTCCATGACCTTTAGATAGAGAGTCTTGCCTTCTCCTTTTGGTTTTCCTATACAGACTCCAGAAAGAACGACGTCAGCCCCTGAAGATAAGCTGTGCTCGAAGCCAGCTATAAGAATGGTTCCAAGTAATTTTGGTTTTGGTCTTCTAGGTCATAACCTTCCCTTATTCATATAAGGAGTTCTTCAAATTCCTCATATATTTAAATGCAATAATCTTCAGATTCTTTCCCCAAAATATCATGAAGTTGCATATAAACACAGAGGTACACACAGCTGCTTTACAAATCCTTATACTTAAGGCAGGAGAGTGGCTAGGAAAACCTCCCAGCCCTGTATATTCACAGGAAGTATGCTTTGGGAACCGAGCCAGCTACCAAGGGCAAGCCTTACCTGGGTATAGGTGAAACAAGCAGCTTGCTCTGTGTCTAACTTGGGAATGTGGAAAAACAAATTTTCTCTACCACTCAGGCATGGTGGCTGAAGTTTCGGGTGCTGGTTCAAGCATTTCCACATGCTGACCCATATGCTTATGCAGCAAGCAGGTATTACTGTCCCCAATTTACACATGAGAGGAAACAGATGATGAAGGGAATGAAAATTGCCCAAGCCAACCACCTAACTTACAAGTGACATGACCAGGATTCAGACTCAGCTCTGACTTCAAAGTCGTATCATTTTTTTTTCACCATATCATGTCTTTTTTCCACTGTATCATTCTGTCCCCTCCTTCAAATCTGCCTTTTTTTCTTCTTTAAACAAACCCTTTCCTTATGACAGTAATCACTAGATTGCTTATTATCCACCTAAAGTTCAATTTGAGGCTTTAATTTCCTATTGGCAATTGCGATGCGGGGTTAAGGTGTCAATGCAGAGCTGCTTTGTTCTCACAGAATCTTCTCCTGTGTTGGGATTATTTAACTGCTATTAGGGCATAATCGATGCTTCAGCTGTCCGTAGGAGGGTCTGACACAAAAGCACCCACGTATCAGGCAAACCAATCTAAACTCTAGCATTTATAGCTCTCTTTCCTTAACAGGTACAGTTTTCTGGTCACAGCTGGAACTCTTGCTTATTCGTGTGTAGTGGGGCAAGGTTAATAGCCACAAAAGAAGTAGCCTAAATCTTCACTGCAGTAAGACCAAAAGGTGCCTTAGCTATTCCTATTACATTTAGATAGACAAGACACCCTCCCTGTCAATCTGTCCTGGGTAGAATAAAATGGAAAACAAATGATCCAAATAGATTTTTATTTTCAATATCTCTGGATACAGATTCAAGGCTATCCTACTCCAAGAAGTATGACAGCACCACAAATACCTTTTTCTGGGTTTAAAAAGAAAAGAATCATTGATTCTCTCCTCTCTTTTCTCTGAATCTAACAATTTCTAAAAACTGTCCATTTTTCTCTTTTACACCACACTAATAGCTTCACTGTATGTCTGACCTCTTTTCACAAAACATCACTGTAATTTCCCTGTGTTTTCTCTGACTAGATTATTCCCTCCACACCCCTCATAACTCCTGTTTATAGTTTTGTAACACGGTCAAAGTCAGTTCCACCGCTCATTCCAGATAGGCACTCAGCCAATATATTGCCAATAACACACACTCTTGTGCTAACTTAAAATACACAGTGCAGCTTGCCAAGTTTCCTTATTTGGCAAGAAGGTCCCTCAGTTCCCAAGATCTTTGACCATCCATTTTTAGATCCAAATCCTCCTGCTTAATATTTGGATATTTCTCTCTCTCTTTTTAATGTGTCTTATGTGTTCCTTAAAAGAGTAAGAAGAGATCAGTCATCTATTTGCTTTCCTAGACAAAAAAAGCGTCCTTGCCACTGCCTTGTCGTCATTTACTCTGGAATTATTATCACTATAATTTCTGAATCAAACAATATTTTTCAGGTTAAAAAAAAAAACTCCCAGAAAAGTTATAATAGGAATTATGTTGTGAAAGACTAAAATAAACAGTACATATTGCTTTATGGGACCATTTTCCTTTATCTTAATTCACGCTTTCCAAACAAGCCAAATTCATGTTCATTTGCAATCTCCCTAATCTCTCACTATTGTAGCAGGAACTTTAAACAAAGGCTCTACAAATGACCAAAACCATAATTAAAATGCATCCGTCATGTATTTTTTTGAAAATCAAAAAACGACAGGAAATTTCGCCGTGGAGATAGGCCTACTACAAAGAAGCCATTAACCGCCTTGAAGCGCTTGTTTATTTTTGTCTTCATATGTGTTTGTTGGTTCAGATCCACTGAATCCCGACCGTTCACTTCAACTGAGGTCAGGAAAGCAAGAAGGCTCTCCTAAAACAGCTTCAGTGATAAAACAGGAGCATACTTTAGCAACCATCTTAACTCAGATATCCTCGCATTAATTCTGTAAGTGGATTCTAAAACACCATTATTAATAGAGAGCTGCTGATTATAATATCATTGGATCGGGCCACTAAATGATGCTGCTTTCGTTATTAAAGAAACTAACAAAAATACTAATTAAGTCCTCCATAAACAGTGCTTTGCGAACATCTCGAGGCGCATCAGAAACACACATTTTCACAATCTAACAATGACCTGCCCCGTTTTTTACGCAATTCGGAGCCATCTCGCCGGGTCCGTAGTAAAGTTGGTCTGCAAGCTGTCAGGACCAAGCGAAGCGCGGCGGCGGCCCTCAGCTTGGCCCTCCCGGCCCGGGGCAAGTCTCGGAGCCCGGGGACCGAGAGACGCCACGGGGTCGCCGAGCAGCACTCTCGCCCCACGTGGGAGGCAGAGGGGGCCGCTGGAGGGTGCGGGCGGCGCGAGCTGCACGCTGCCCCGGGGAGGGCTGGGGAGGGCGGCTCGCGGTGGGAGAAGCCACCCCGGCCGGCTGGAAAGCAGAAGTTAGTGGTCTCTCCTCGCACGCACAGCCCTCTGCTGGGAAGTGGCCCGCGCCCTGTCCTGATTTGGAAGACTCGCGTTTCGCCTCGCAGAGGGGCCGGGTCGCCCGCGGCGAGGCCGGCCCTCCGACGCTCAGGCCCCGGGGGTGGCGGGCTCGGCCGGCGGGGTCCCGGCTTTCGGCGAGGCGAAGCGGCGGCCCCCGCACCCGCGCCGCGCGCAGGGCCGGGAAAGCCCGACAGGCTGCGCCCGCCCTTCCGGACGCCAACTTCTGCGTGGGACCGGCCCGAACTTCGCCAGGCCCTCTGGGCCGCCGGGCGGCCGGGCGCCGGGAACGCTCGCAACGGCCGCAGCCGCCGGCGCGGGCCCCGGGTCGGGGAGGGTGCGCAGCGGAGCCCCGCAGGCCGCCAGGGCCTCGGCCCCGAGCCTCGCGAGGGCGGCGGGCCTCCGACCCACCCTCGCCCTCCGCGGCCTCCGGCCGGCCCCTTACCTGGCTCCCGGGCCGGGCGCGAGCAGCAGCCGGGGGGCGCCGAGGCCCCGCGCGCGGCGAGGGTAGGGCCGGCGACCGTGGGGGGTGCGGGGGGGGGTCGAGAGGACGGCGGCCCGCGCGGCTCCCACGCTTCCGCCCGAGTCAGGAGTTGAACATTCCGCCTCTCCGCCCCGCGCCAATGAGGGAGACAGTTACGGCAACAGCACCACCTACCTCCGAGCGCGGAACGGCCGGGCCTCTCTGCCCGCGCCGCAGCTCAGACGCGCCGGCCGGCGGGGCGTGGGGAAGCGGGCCGGCCTCCCGGGCCTGCGCCCCTCGAGGGCTCCGTGCGCCCCTGCGCCCCGGCAGCCACCCGGGCGGAGCGATGGAGGAACTCCGTGCGAAGAGCACCTGCCCTGCAGTGCGGGGGGCCGGGAGAGGGAGGCGTGCCCCTGGGCCTCGCGGTAGCTTCACCTCATTTTCACGAGTTCCCACCACCTGTCGGGTCAACTCAGTCCTCATCAACCAACATTTACCTTGTCAGAGGCGCTGGGGATACAGAGAGATGGGAGGCTGCTTCGTGCCTCTTCTGGTTGGAAAGGGCACAGACCTGGAAAGATATTTCTAGGAGAGAGGGCTGAAGGCTGCCTGGGTGGGACCGTCAGTAAATACCTACGGACTTTTGAGGAGGGGTCGTGGTGGGCTGCCCTGCTTGGTGACTTCGCCAAAACTGAGTTCAGACGAGGACACTAGACTTCATCCCAGGTGGGAGCAAGCCGTGGCAATAAGTACTGGGAAGACAGGTAACTGTTGACTGGGGAGGAAAGGAGAGACGGGGTCGGAAAGGTCCCGGCAGCATTATGCAGGGGTTTGGGTTCGGATTTTATCATCTGTGGGCCCTGGGGAACTGGGGGAAGTTGGAAGCAAAGAGTTAAACTAGGTGTTTGTGTTTGGTGAGTTAGAGAGAGAGCAGTCCGCGCGCGGCTGTGGGATGCGTTGCTAGGGCAAGCCTGGGAGGCGGCAGGAAAGGTTAACAGCGCGTCCCTACCTGGTAATGGGAGTGTGAGGACCTGAGCAGGAGGGAGGAAATGGACCTCGAAAAGGAGGAATGGCCTCTCAGGAAGAGGCCACAGGAACTGGGGGTGTGGAAGAGAAGAAGGAAAGAGAGATGATGCCGAGGTTTCAGCCTCGGGTGACTGGAAGAAAGATGGTGCCGTTGACAGGAAGAGGGATGTGTCGGGGAGAAGCTGGCTTCCTGGTGAGTTCGAGGTCACGGGAGGCAAAACAGGTAGAGCCGCAGCAGTTGAAATATGAAACGGAGGCTCAGAAAAGAGGTCATGAGAGAAAGAATTGTAAATCGTCAGACAGTTGAAAATAAGAAAGCAGAGGGATGCGTGAATATAAGCTAAAAACGCCACGTTCTCGTCTGTTATTCAAATTATTATTTTTTAAAAGATTTTTTATTTATTTATTGGACAGAGAGACAGCAAGAGCAGGAACACAAGTAGGGGAAGTGGCAGAGGGAGAAGACGCAGGCCTCTTGCAGAGCAGGGAGCCCGATGTAGGACTCGATCCGATCGCAGGACCCTGGGATCATGACCTGAGCCGAAGGCAGACGCTTAACAACTGAGCCACCCAGGCACCCCTGTTACTCAAATTATTGAATTACCCCTTTGGTGAGAATTAGGAATTTTGGCACTGATGGATTCTATTTCAGTAACTGAGAAATTAGGATTGATGAAAACTGTCATGCTAACCAAATTCCTGGTGTAGGTAATCAAATAATTCTGAAAATCGTCTAAACATCTATCTTCAGGATAGACCCACGTACGACGTGACTCCAGTCATTCTACCTCACCAGGCACTACATTTTGATGGCAGAGACCCTAGACCGGGAATCAGAGAACCTGGTTTCTGGTTTTAGTCCTGCCATGTATCAGCTGGGGTACTTTGCTAGACGGGCCTGGTTTTCTCCTCTGCAAAATAAGAGGGCCCAGGGAGATGTTAGACACAGGCTCCAGCTTTAAAACTGTGAATGCATTACTTTAAATTTGAAGCACATGACTTAAGTGCTTGCTTCGGCAGCACATATACTAAAATTGAAGCACATGACTTAAGAGTCTTAATATTTTCACCACATCCCCCTTCCTTCCCATCTATTTTTCCTTCATTCTATTTTCCCTACATAATTAGGCAAAGAGAATAACCAGCAGGAACAGTAAACACTAAAGGGTAGTTTCACAAGTATGCTTCAGTGATAAACTGGCAGGCCTTCTCTTATCTTCCCAACCAGGTTGCAAGTTCCTTGAGGTCATATCTTATATTCTGTTGTATCTGCCCATAGCTGAAATAAATGCATAATTGTGTGATAAACTGGACTCCTCAAGCCTGACTCTTCTTTAGTCAGGTTGCCCATTTCCTTATGACTGTACTGATCTCTTTGAGTTCCAGACCTAATATAGTCTAGTGTTTATTCCCGTGGCTGACTCTACTTTTTCAAACTTTCACATTTTTTTTTTAAGATTTTATTTATTTGACAGAGAGAGACACAGCAAGAGAGGGAACACAAGCAGGGGGAGTAGAGAAGGAGAAGCAGGCTTCCTGCTGAGCAGAGAGCCCGATACGGGGCTCCATCCCAGGACCCTGGGATCATGACCTGAGCGGAAGGCAGACGCTTAATGACTGAGCCACCCAGGCGCCCCCACATCTTTTTTTTGAGAGCATATTGGGTAATTCTCACCTGCGTAGGTTTACAAATGTGAATAGCAATAGCAAAAGAGACCTAGTCAAACCTCTCTTATCAAGCCTTCCTATTCCTTTACTTCAAATGTCTCCGCACTAAAAATAGATGTACTCTCAGCAGTGGGGTGGATTGGGAGTCCTTAGCACCCTCTTATATTCCAAGAACACCCTCCAAAATAAATATGCAATGTCAGTAAAAACAGTGCATTTGCTATGCAAATAGAGCTTAAAGAAAAAAGTCTTCTGGTCCCCCATTCAGATTGTTGTCCTTAAGCTCCTCTTGAATAGAAATTCTGAAACTGCCACCAGCTATCGGTGGATCAAAGAAGTGCAGACATAAATTCCATTAAGGATAGAAGGAAAGGCAATTTACAAGGAAGAAAGCATTCTGATTATCCTTCCCACCCTTTGTAGTGAAAAGAGTTCTGAGGCACATGGGGACCCAGGAGCATTTTCTCCAGCCATCTCAGTCCTCCATGGCAGACTGTGAGTGGTCTGTGTCTAGATCATAGCCAAGAATTACCAGCTTTTACAAAAAGGCTGGTGTTCGCCCTCCTGCACTCTGCTGGATCCCTGGGAAATGAAGGCACACAGTCACACATCCTTTAAGATAAGCAACCATGACCTTAAAATCAGGAGTGAAGCCCGCATCATTGTTGGAACTTAGCTTTCACATCTAGCTTAGGGACCGAAGAATTCACAAGAATATTTCAGGTACCAAATTTGCTTAGGTGTTTCAAGGCCTGAGTAAGGCAAGTAGGGCAAGATGAGAAATTGGGGACTTTGGCAAAATTTGTTCAACAAGCATGTACTGAATGGAAGGCACTGTGCTGAGCATGCGGTGGTAACAGTGACCAAGACGTGGTCTCTGTTCTCACAGAGTTTGCTGAGTGCAACGGAAAAGCCAGAAAAGACACAAGTGATTGTACTGTGGTGTGCTCTTAGGAAGGCAAGGATGTGGGAGAACAGCAGGGCACGTACCACAGTTTTGAGAGGTGAGACAAAGAACCTCCACGTCCGTGGGAGAAGAGTGAAGTGAATTTGCTGGACAGAAAGGTGGGAAAGGTATTACAGGCAGAGGGAACAATAAGTACAAAGGCCCAAGATCATTTAAACAAGTTCAAGGAATAAATCCTTCAGCTATCTGAGTAAAGGCGTTGCCAGCTTGGAGTAATCGTCCTCGTGATGGTAGTAATAGTCGCAGCAGGAGCAGTAAGAATACTGATAATGACAATCATCCTAGTGATGGCCACTATTCACTGAGTGCTCGCGTGCTAGGCACTGAACTAAGAGTCGTACACCGCCTGTGCATTTGACCTTCACAACAACCCTGTCGGGCAGTTGGAATCATCATCCCACGCTGTAGGGCAGGAAAAAGTCTTGGAAAGCTTTAGCGACTTGTCTTCCCTCAGGGGGCAAGAGGTGGACTTTAGGGCTTGTTCTTTTAGATTAAGCGATTTTCCAACTTTTTGAAGTCTCAGGACTCCTTTACACTCTAGAGTGTTTGAGGGTGCCGAATAGTTTTTGTATAGGTAACTTATATCTATCACTATTTATCATAGTAGAAATCAAAACAGAAATCTCTTTATTTAAAATTCACTTATGCTAGCATAAATAACATCTTTTAATGAAAAACAAATGTGCAAAATAAAAAAGTGAGAAGACTGTCATTGTTTTATATTTTTGCCAATCTCTGTAATGTCTGGTCTAAAAGAAGACAATTGGATTCTCATATCTGCTTCTGCATTTCATGTCATCTGGTATCACACCACATGTACCCTTTGGGAGAGGCCACCGTTCACTCGTAAGAGAGTACAGTGAAAATAGCACCTTAGTATCTTTATGAGATGAGTTTTGACCTCACAGACTCGCTGATGGGTTTCCCGGAGTGCATCTGGAGAACCGCTATTTTAGAGAGTCTGAGGTGCTCCGGAGCTGGAGGGGAATCAGTTGCCTCGGATCCCACCTGCTTCAAGACACAGCTTTGCAGGGCAGCTGCCCAGGATAGGAAAGAGAGCACTTTGCTAGACCTCTGATAACCCGAGATGTGGTGGCAGCCCTATCCCCAAGCAGCTATCGCTCAGTTGGGCCCCTATTGCCTCATGGTCATGTGAGATGACAAAGGCCTACTTACCTTTGAGTCTTGAGTCCTATGCACTGCTTGCTTCTGCTATTGTTTGCCGTGCTGTTCTTCTTGAATATCCTAGATTTAACACGTGACCGAATCATAACTGAGTTTGTCATACCCTTTCAGCTTTGAGCCTTACCATCTCTCCTGTTTGCTCTTAGCCCTACTTTATTGCAAGGGACTCATATGCTTCTTCCCCAAATCTATAACAGTTGGTATGACTTTTCTGGCAAGATCCTAGAGTTATTATTAAATGCCATGATTAGGGCGCCTGGGTGGCTCAGTCGTTAAGCGTCTGCCTTCAGCTCAGG